ATAGTGGTTCCTTAGTCCACCTCCGGGATACTTTCAGTGTTCTAGATGGCTATCTCTCTCTCTATGTCTCTATCCCTATCTATATCGATATCTATATCTCTTTAGATCTCTCTATCTATATCTAATCTATTCGTCCCTCCATCTTAGAATATATAGCTATGTCAGTTGTTTAAAATTTTGTCAAAAACTACAACTATTATTTTTGAGTCTCTGGGGAATTGAAATGGCGAACAGGCTAAACTTGCACTTTATCTGTGTGCACAATTAGTGGAAATAAATGCTAGCATGCACATAATGAAGTAGCATTGGCACATACAAGGTAGGCATAGCTGGCATACGTAAACTAGGAGCACATGCAGCGATTTAATGAATGTCTAAGAATACTAATCATAGCTATATTATTGGACACTGTCTATCTATCTATATGTGCCAAAGGGTCTAGTTCAATTGGTTATAGCGTCCCAACGGCACTTCTCATGTCTTGGGTTTGACTCCCCGTGGGAGCGAATTTTAGACTGGGGTTAAAAAAATCACATCGTCTGTCCCACGCCAAAGCACAGGTCTAAGAAACGGCTCTGTTCTTACAGGGGTACGGTGCCGCTATGTATGGGTGGGACAGGGGTTCAGGGGTTTTCTGGACCTACGTGAGAAAGTTCTTCTTCTTAATGCAATGTCCGGGGTGGCTTTCTCCCGTAGGTCCAGTTTTCTATCTATCTATATGTCTGTCCTATCTATCTATCTATCTCGCTTTTAAACAGGCCTAATCTTTCTTTAGAGAAATTACTAATATCTAGAAAGTGGCCGAAAAGACATTCACTGCATGTCAGGCCTAATCTTTCTTTAGCTTAGGAAACGGTGATCTTGTTGCACTCATCAGTTTAAGGTTTAGTGCCTGTTTGGAGAGCTCCCTCGGTTTACCACACAGTAGCTATGATGAGCCAAAAGGATGGCGAGCGTTTTGCTCGACAGAGATTACTGGAAGCTGAAGCAAAACTTGCGGCATGCCAGACTTACGGCGAGATTAGGAAGCCATCCAGACAGAGAGCTAAGTTTTTACGGTCAGTTGTGGAAGCAATCCAAATAGACCCTTAGGCTTTCTAGCTAGGCTAGGTCTGTTATGATAAACACACAGTCCGTATTGGAACAAAAAGTATTGGGTCTTGTCCATGAAGATGTTTCACATCATGCAAATACTATCAGTTTTGTTCATATTACTTAATTACTTTTAGGGCCTGTTTGGAACACGGGAATTGAAAACATAGGAATAGGAAAAAATATAGGAATTGGATGAATATGTAGTGATAAAACAGAGGAAAGAAAAAACGCAGGAAATAACTAAGAATGAGCGTTTGGAACGCAGGAATACATAGCACAGGAATCATAAGACTGTGAATGCTATAGTCATTATTGGTGCTTAATGAAATGATAATATATAATGTATTAGCTGCTCGATTCTCTCTTCTCATTTGATTTTCCTCGGGCAAGCGCGAAGGAAAACGAAACCAGAGGTAAGAGCATATGCTTTTTTCCTGTGAAACCGTGTTGTTGCTACAGGTTTCCGGAGGAAAGGGTCCGCTCGTTTCCTTCGTTCCAAACGGTCTCCTCGTCTTCCTTTCCTCCGTTTTCGTTTCCTTCATTTTTCCTACGAAAAACCTTTGTTCCAAACAGATCCTTACACGATTGCTTAAAACATGCATGTATACATATAAATGTGTTGCTCTTATTTCATCAATCAACTTTTTTTATTTAGATAATGGAAACAAAAAGTTCTGGCTTCATCGATTTCATCAATCAACTACATAAACATTCAATTGGATAGTTTCAATTTGGGCATGCTAGATGGCGACTCATCTCCAGATGACAACAACTTCTGCCCGCTGGATAGCTGCTTGACTCCTAGCAGATTGCTTCGTCCTTGCCCTGGACATTCAAAGTTACATGTGCATACTCTGGTAGGTGGTTTTCTACCCTTGCAGAACCCGCTGGTGCCGATGCCAAAGTGAATGCACGAGTCTCCACAGTCCTTATCGCTTCGGCATAAGCTAAGGTAAAATGGATTAGGCTTGGTGCATATCTTTGCCTCCGCACCTACGTACAATCATAAATCGATGGATAGTTAAGAACCATATACACAACATATTTTCTTTCATGGAGCTGGAACTTGATAAGTGAGAAAAGGTTTGTTTTAGTTACTTACAATAGGCCACGAGGAGCAAGGCCTGGATGAAGATAGCAGGAACCACTACGTCCTTACTGAATGGCATATGCTGGTTATTTGGTGTGAGAAAAATATCATAGGCATTTTCAATATTTATAATGGTTTCTTAAACCTCTAGCGTACATTCTCTATCTCTATCTCTATCTAGATCTAACTCTATCTGTAGGTAATCTACTCCCTCTCTCTCTCTCTCTCTCTCTCTCTCTCTCTCTCTCTCTCTATATATATATATATATATATATATATATATATATATATATATATATATATATATATATATATATATATATATATATATATATATATATATATATATATATATACAACAATTTTCATGTCAGCCTTGCTTAAAAAGGCAGTGGTGTTAACGTAGCCATTTGGCATTTGCTCACTTCACTTTCATGGGGATTGAGAAGTGCACAACCATTGGTATCAGTTAACTAACCGCAATTTGGAATCCATAAATGGTGTCGGGTGTTTGTCAGGAGAAGTCGTATGTGTCAATCACGTACAAATGCCTCAGTTTTACACCATAGTATGCTGTCGAGAGCATTCAGAGATCAACAGGGCCCCAATTTTATCCTGTACTTCCAGCCTCTCAAGTTGGGCGTGAATTTATACTTTGGAGTCCTGACGTATAATTGCATATAGTGCCCTGTCGCATTTGTCATTATTTGGTATAGCAGTTTATGTTAGAATCTGATACCACTAGCTGTGCGCAACAGCCCTCGGATCTTTGAAAGGACATCGTGAGTTATGACATAAGCTTGCCCTGTATTAAAAACGATGTAGTTGAATCGCATAGAAAATCCTAGATGGCAATGTTGAAACAACCACTACAAGAGATTAGAATTTTGGCAAAGCCGACCATAAATTCTATTAGCACACAACTCTAAAAGAGTACAAGTGATTGTCGCTATCTGACAACCCTTACTTGAGTCTCCAGGACCCACTGATCCGTGCCTTATACAAGAATCTAGTGCAATAGAACTTCTAGCCTAATCCTCTTAAGCAATCCTAATTGTTCCTTACCAGGCTTGGATGAGGCCGTGTTAGCTTGGTTGATGCCTAGGTCTCTATCCTTGTTTATATAGTCCCCTCCAAAGCCTTCATACGTACAAGTAAGAGTCCTACTCCAAGTAGAATTCTACACTTAAGTGCAAGAAAAACTAGAAGTGCTAATAGCACGCCTCTATATTACATTCTATTATAAGTAGGGTTTGATTCACCGCACAACAATCTCCACCATGACTCTAAACCTTTGAAGTCATCGTGCTACTCCAGGCGTGTTAATTTTTATATGCCAACCGTGATAGAAAATAAATAAAGATAAAACATTCAGATTAATATTAAGCAATTTTTATATTAATTTTCTTGGACAGCGTGTTTACATGTTTACAACCTGGTCCCTCTAGATGATAACACCCAGGCCTTGGACAACATGTTTATGTCTACAAAGCTTAAAAATGACATTCCCTGCTGCCTAAATGGCCGACTAGGACAGCAATTTTCATGGCAGTGGCAGCCTTGCTTTGGGTTAAAGAAACAGTGATCACCTCACTTTCATGGGGATTGTGAAGCGCACAGACGTCGGCTTCAGTTAACTAACCGCAGTTTGGAATCCATAATTGGTGTCCGTGGGGCAAATCCAAAGCAGAGGCGTGTCAATCCCAAACGCCTCTATTGTTCTCTGGTCCCTGAATTTCTGACTCTGCATTTGTTGTATAAGCTACAGAAGCTGCTGCATCATGATTCATGCATGTACATTCTTCGTTGTACTTGGAGCAAGCTTATCTCCCGCTCTTGTCTTCAGTTCTTGATGCAGCCGCTCTTCAGGACTTCAGGTGTGGTCAGAACTAGTCCATGCATCTTCAGTGTTTCATCTTTACAGTGTCAGTCTACAAACGTCAGCTCCTCTTGCTCTCTCTAACGTTACTCGGTGAACAAATAGTAGGAGCAGTAGCAGGTTTCAAATGAAAGGCGAAGGAACAGTGAAAAAACTTACTAGCTCTGTTCCTTGGGTTCTTTTGAGAACGTCCAAGCAACTTTACATTGGAGTTAGCTGAGGAGTTGTCATTTCACCCATGCTACTCCTAAAATACTCCTAGGCCTGGTTTAGATTGCAAGTTTTTTCACTCTCTCTCCATCACATTAAATCTTTGACACATGAATAGAGTATTAAATGTAGATAAAAAAATAATTAATTACACAGTTTGATTGTAAATTACGAGACGAATCTTTTGAGCCTAGTTAGGCCATGATTGGACAATAATTGTCAAATACAAACGAAAGTGCTACAGTGTCGAATACTAATTCCTAACCCCAGTCTAAATAAGACCCTGCTCAGTTTAGTTAACCAACCTCCCGAATGATTGACATAGCACCGTTTCAGGTGCAATATTCACAAGGAAACAGAACAGCTCGTGCCTTTGCTCATATTCTCTGTACATACAAAGTTCTCAGATGAAGAAGTTGAGGAGATTGGAAGTCTCCAGTTTAACCGTGTCATACATTACAAAATTGCTCTGATGAGCACCACCGGAGCTGTTCCCTCAGATCCTCACATTCTCCTCTATCATACATGCATCAAAGCATTCAAGCTCAGCTCTCAACTTATTCAGCGCCATCAAGTCTGAGCAGTGCTTTTAATACATCTCCTTACTCGTACTGATTCTAAAATCTATTAACATATATATATAGACTCGCTTGATTAATAAGGAACTGTAAGTAAACTAGCTACTAGCGATTAACCCATTTTCATGTTGCAACTCCTCCGATCCCTTCACATGACCGTGCAAGAATTGGCGCTCTCGTCGTTGAACATGTCGCCGTAGCCGTCCCGCGGCGGCGAGAAGGCGCTCCTCTGCGGCGGCGGCGCGCTGTAGTAGTAGTCTTCCGACGAAGAAGCCGGCTGGTACTGGTACTGGTAGCTGTACGGCGCCGGCTGCGGAGGGCTGTAGTAGTACGGCTCGGGCTCGTACGCCGGCGACCGGTTGTAGTTGTTGTTGTAGTAGGACGGCGTGTAGTGCTCGTCGATGTAACCCTGCGACGGCCCCGGCCTCGCCATCGGCATCGGCGCCGGCGCCGGCGCCGGCGCTGGTGCCGGGGCGTAGTAGGACGCGCTCACGCTCGGCCGCACCTGGTTGTAGCTCATGACTGCCGGCGGCGGCACCGGCATGCGGTTCACGTAGCCCGGGACGCCTCGGTCGTACTCTACAGTCACTCTGGCGTCCACCGGCTGCTGCATCGCTTTCGCTTTCCCCTTCGCCTCGCTGGGTCCATGCTGCGCCGGTGCCGCCGCGGTGTCATCGACGGCGTCGTCGGCGCTGGCATTTTCTTTGCTGTCCGGAGCCGGATTCGGGGCCTCGCTGGTGCTCTGCTTGGGTTCCGGAGGGTTGCTCGGCTCTGCCGCGGCGGCGGCGGCCGTGTCGGCGCCGCGCTTCTCGGCAGGTTTGCTCGTCTCGTCAGGCTGGTTGTTCTTGGGCTCCTGCGTTTGGCTCTCAGCTGCTGGTGGTGGTGGTGGCGGCTGCTCCGGCCATAGCTCCGCCTGCTTGCCGGACTTGCGCAGCTTGGCGACGAGCATGTAGGGGTCGAGCTTCGTCGAGACCGTCGCCACGACCTTGTTGCTCCGGGCATCGATTTCGCATCGGTACACGCCTAACATCAAAACAGCACAAATTCAGTATGGTCAGCATGCATGGACCATCTTCACCGATCAAATTGTGCTAGACTTTCATCGATTTTTTTTTCCAATTTTGGTATAGTACAAAGATAAAGAGGCAATTGCTCGCAAACAAAGGCAACTACTAACATGTACTAGTGCTCAGTGTTCAGTGTTGCAATCGAAGACGCAAATTTTGCAGCATCAGGACTTGTGTAAGCAAAGCAAGGCCTTTGACAATGCGAAGCTACGTGCTGGTGAACTGAAAGACCTGTCGTATATCAAATCATATCATGCAATTCAGGGGCGAAATTAAACAAGAGCGTACCACTGATGTTCTGGAGCACTTTCTTCACCTTCTTCTTGCATCCTTGGCAGTGAATGGACACCCTCAGCACCACATCCTGAAACAGGGCACACACAAACGGATTGAGAACAAGAATCAAACAAAATCAGTGACTGGAACAGGAATCAAACTGAAGAACAGAAATCGCTCTGGAATCCAGGCCCAGGGAGACAGATTAAAGAGAGAAGAGAGAATATTGGTACCTGGCACTCTATAGCCTCTGAGGCCATGAGAGCGAGGTGAGGAAGGTGCTTGCAGGAGGAGAGGAGGGGAAAGTGTGTCCGTGGAGTCGTGAACTGTGGGGGAAGTGCGGAGGGCGATCTTTATACCCGCACTAGTTTAGTCACAACAAGTGAAAGGAACCGAAGTAACCGCCATACAAAGAAGGAATAGTGCTGAATTGAAAATCTTTGGAGAGCTGATCAGCTAGGGGAGGGAGGGAGGGGGTGGCTTTACAAATGGGCGCAGCGCAGAGCGCACCACGCCCTTGGAGGCTTTGGAAGGAGGTAAAGATGGATGTGAGCCTGTCACAGTGAAAGCAAGCGTATGGAGGTGGTGATCGATGGTTCAGTGCTAGTCCTAGTCGTCTTCTTCTTCCTTTCAGAGCTCATCATGAGCTGTACTACAATATTGTGCATGCAGCAGCTGGGATTTTCATTTTGGTGATGCATGATGGCAATTAAAGCGGCTTTTTGCAGGGAGGGAGGGAGAATTACACTTGAACATCTCTTTTGCTAATTGTTGCTGTCTTGCTGAGCTGAGCTACCTTTAGTAGAGAGATTTTCCTGCTGTGCCGTTCCTCTTCTTCTTGTGAATGAAACAAGCAAATTAAAAGCGAAGGCAACAACAACTCGCTGAAGGAGACGGCACTGAAATACTGAATTACGACGACGACGACGAAGAAAAAGAAGCGCAGATCAAACTGAATATGTGTCAGGAATTCAGGATACGACTGCCCCTCCCATGGCTAGCTGCTTGTTGCTGAGTGAGATTCGTTGCCCTCCCATGGAGTGTTACGGAGTCGCGGGCAACCCAATGCATGCATGCAACCGCGGGTTAGTGGTGACCAGCCGCCAGCTTCGTCACGCCACGCCACCAGTCGCCGCCGCCAAAACACCAGATCGAAGAAATATTGGCCGATGCAAATGCATCTTGTTATTGGTTCCTTTGCCTTCCCGGCCGTGCAGAGGAAGGGTTTGTTTTGCTGCTGCATGCCTCGTCACAAAGCGCTCGTGTTGTGTTGTGCATGGAGAAGAAAGCATCGATTCCACATTCCAGGAGAAGAAGCCTTTTTTGACAACGCCTGTTAGTTGTCCATTCCTGGGGCTGGGGCTCTTAGTTATATTTATATATATAGATACGTCTAGCTTTGTTTGTGAGCCATCATTAAGCGCAAATTGCAGGTGCTTGCTTTGGCCGGCCACATTATATTTGCAAAAGCTGAATTCTGGAGTGATCTGTAATGTTAAGTAATCTGCGGCTCCCTGGTGTGAATGCACAGTACGGCGCCGAAAAGGCTTCATGCTGTAACACTGTAGCCGCTGTAGGGGCAGACGTCGAACGGCTCTCCTGCTGCACTATAGCCATAGCAGGGGCAGACGCCAAAGTCAGCCCTGCTGTCATATCTAGTCACTGTAGCAGCATGACAGCCTGACATGCCTGTGTACTAGAATTAGATGGGTAGAGTTGTATATATTGTTTGCCACTGCAATTAAGTAAAGAGAGCGAGTTCAGTTTGCCATCTCCTCTGCAGAGCTCCGACCAACGTTGGTGCTTATGTTGTGTGTGTGATCTGTTCTCCCTCTCTTCTTCTACCTCTAGCCATAGTGTGTGGTCGGCAACGATAGTGCGTGGTCGGCAACGCTGGTGAGTGGTCGATTCACCCGTGCCGGAGATCCAGTGGGCTAACAAGTGGTATCAGAACCGTACAAGCGTCGTCGCCGGACTAATCGCTGACGATGACAGACGGTTTGGAGATGGGCGACAGCAGCTGTGGCTGCCCAGCCACGACAGGAGGTCATTGTACGCACGGTGCAAGAGGTCAGCGGCACCAGTTGGCCGACGCTGACTCGCACCAACTATGGCGAGTGGTCTATGACCACGAAGGTCAAGCTCAGAGCCCGACGGCTCTGGAATGTTGTTGACAAGGGCACCGACAACGAAGAAGACGATATGTCAGTGTTGGAGGCTATCCTCGCTGTTGTGCCACCGGGGTACAGGGAGTCATTGGGGGCCAAAGAGCTCTGCCAAGAAGGCGTAGGAGGCCATTGCGGCGATGCGCGTCGGTTTCGACCGCGCAAAGAAGGCGATGGCCCAGCTTCTGAAGCAGGAGTATGTCAATCTCAAATTCAAGGATGCTAAATCGGTGGAGAACTTTTCCCTTCGCCTACAGACGCTCATCAGCAAGCTAAAGAGCCACAGCGTCACCATCGACGAAGAAGAGACGGTCTCCAAGTACCTCCACTCCGTGCCGATGAAGTACATCCAGATCGCTCTCTCCACAGAGACGATGATAGATCTATCCACCCTCATCATTGAGGATGTGACTGGTCAGCTGCGGGCGGTGGATGAGCGCCTGGAGCAGGCGACAGCAACGAAGGATAGCGGCAAGCTGCTACTGACAAAGAAGGAGTGGGCTGCCCAGAGGAACTCCGGGGAAGCCTCCTCCAGCCACGGTGGCGATGGCAAGCGCCACGGCAAGGCTTCTTTAGAGAAGAAGAAGAAGGTCGACCCCAACGCTTGCCGGCGCTACGGGAAGACGGGCCATTGGGCAAAAGAGTGCCCAAATCGCAGGCAGGAGAAGAAGGTTGAGGCTCATCTGGCGCAGGCTGATGATGATGACGAGGCCACTCTCCTGATGACGACGTTCTGTGCACTGCACGACGTTGAGACCAAGAAGAAGGAAGAGGTGATGGCAGTGAAAGAGCCTGGGAAGGCTCTGAAAGCTGTCTACCTCGACGAACCGCGCGCCCAAGTCCACCTCAGACGTGTGGGCGGCGGATAGGAGCAGCGGTGGTACCTAGACTCTGGCGTCAGCAACCACATGACGGGATCCAAGGAAGCCTTCTCCGAGCTCGACGACGACATGACTGGCACGGTGAAGTTCGGTGACATCTCAAGGGTGGCAATTCGAGGGCGCGGCACCATTATCTTCAGGTGCCATAACGGAGAGCACCACGCGCTAACGGATGTATATTACATCCCGCAGCTACGATCAAGCATCGTCAGCATTGGCCAGCTGGATGAGCGCGGCAGTGAGGTACTGATCAAGGACGGCGTCCTGAGGAACAGGGACCGAGAGCAGCGCCTTCTTGCCAAGGTGAAGAGGTCCCAGAACCGACTGTACCTGCTCAACTTGAAGGTGGAGCAGCCGGTGTGCCTAACAGCACGGCACACTAAGGAGCCGTGGCTGTGGCATGCCTGGTTCGGCCATCTCAGCTTCGATGCGCTTGGTCGGCTAGAGAAGATGGTCCGAAGGCTGCCCCACATCAAGCACAGAGGCGAGCTGTGTGACAGCTGCCTGACTGGGAAGCAGAGGAGGCTGCTGTTCCTAAAGGCGGCCAAGTATTGCGTGATGGACGCTCTCGAGCTCATCCACGGCGATCTCTGTGGGCCAATCACGTCAGTCACAAACAGTGATCGGCGGTACTTTCTCCTGCTCATGGATGATTTAGTCGCTATATGTGGCTGCAACTCCTGACGAGCAAGGACGAGGCGGCAGCGGCGATCAAGAAGTTTAAAGCACACGCGGAGGCTGAGAGCAGCAAGAAGTTGCGCGTGATGCGGACTGATCGGGGCGACGAATTCACTTCGGTGGAGTTCGCTGTGCACTGCGTGGATCAAGGTGTGGTGCGACACCACACCGCGCCGTACTCGCCACAACAGAATGGTGTGGTGGAGCGGCGGAACCAGACGGTGGTCGGCATTGCTCGATCCATGCTGAAGGCCAAGAGCATGCCAGCTAGGTTTTGGGGTGAGGCGGTGACCACGGCGTTGTTCATCCTCAACCGCACGCCCACCAAGGCCCTAAAGGGCAAGACATCTTTCGAAGCTTGGTATGGGCACAAGCCGAGCGTGTCCTTCCTCTGGACTTTCGGCTGCATCGGCCACGTCAGGAGGACGACGCCAGTCCTCACCAAGTTGGAGGACAGGAGCACATCGATGGTGCTCCTAGGCTACGTGAAAGGTACCAAGGCGTATCGGCTCTACGACCCACGTGGAGACAAGGTGCTTGTCTCGCCTGACGTCGTGTTTAATGAGAAGGCAGGCCTGGGACTGGAACAATTCGGGCACGGGGGAAGCTGGCAGCTTCACCAGCACCTTCGTCGTCAAGCACTTGGTCATCCACGGTGGTGGAGACGCTGGAGAAGAGGTGCCGAGCACTCCAGCAATAGAGCCGAGCACTCCTAGGCGGTGCCGAGCACTCCGGGAGGAGTGCCGAGTGGTGCCAAGTGGTCTTACAGTGGTGCATACCACTCCAAGACGGTTGCCGAACACTCCCATAGCGGAGCCAAGCAGTCCTGCAGTGGTGCCGAACATTCCAGGAGTGGTGACAAGCAGTCCAGGAGTAGTGCCGAGCACTGCAGTCGGGGTGCCGAGCACTCCAGGTGCCGTGCAGACCACTCCGACGGAACAGAGAACTCCATCGATGCCGATCGAGTTCACCTCACCACCAAGCGACATCACTGAGTTCGTGGATGCCTTCCACGACGGTGAGGAGGTACGGTTCTGTAGGCTAGACGACATCGGCGGCGGCATAGGGCCCTCAGGCCTGGCGGGTAGGCTGCTCAATGACCCAGAGCTGCTTCTCGTTAGTGCAGAGGAACCACCCACGTTTGCGCTGGGTGAGCGCGATGCAAATTGGCGACGGGCGATGCTGGAGGAGATGAAGGCGATCGAGAAAAACGAGACTTGGAAGCTCATCGATCCACCTTTAGGATGTCGTTCGATCAGCCTGAAGTGGGTGTACGAGGTCAAGCGGGACGAGCACGGTGCCATCGTCAAACACAAGGCGCGCCTCGTCGCCCGAGGCTTTGTCCAGCGCGAGGGCATCGACTTCGAGGAAGTCTTTACGCCGGTAGCTCGCATGGAGTCTGTTCGACTGCTTCTAGCTTTGGCAGCAGCGAAGGACTGACGTGTCCATCACCTGGATGTAAAATTGACCTTCCTCAACGGCGAGCTGGCGGAGACGGTCTTCGTCAGGCAACCTCTGGGTTTCGCCATCAAGGGA